GGCACACGGACGGGACAGACAGACACGGACAGGCTCCGGCGCGGCCGGAGCGAAGGTTGTTTCTCAAGGGAACTTCTCCTCAGCGACTCCTTGCAGTACGTTACTGTGTTGTGAATACTCGAGCTGGCACTTAGCTGTACGCGGCGCCGGGGCTCCCAGGGACTGCCTTCTAGCGAGCTGTTACCCCGTGCTCTCCCCGCGCTCCGGCCGCGGCTTTGGGCGCACTGGGTTTTTCTGGGACGCCCCCGAGTGCGTGCGAGCGAGCGAATAAACTCTGTAAACTCACCCCGAGATGCCTCCAGTCCTGCCCGGGGAGGAGAGATGGGGCGGGGGGGTCCATCCTCAGCATCCCACGGGAATGGGATGGGTTGGCACTGGAATGGTTGGAATTCCTTTTTAGGGATTCCACTGGTGCCCTCTGGAGGAGAGGGAGCGCGGTCGGGGCTCTGGGAAGGGCTCCTGGCAGCAGAATCCCTGTCCCTGATTTTGGGAGGGAAGAGGGAGCGAGGGATCACTCTCGGACTGACCACTGGTGCTGCCCATCTAGACCTTGCTCCATGCACAATAAAGATTTATTTTTCCCTTCATTTTGTGGTTGTTCCTGCGGCTCTTCAGCATTTTGGGGTGGCTTGGAGGGAGGGAAAGCTGCGAGCACACGTTTTTCACCACCCCTGTTTCAGGTGAGTGGGGAGCCTGGGGCTGCAGCTGCATCCCTGCAACCTGGTTAAGGGGTTTGGGGTACAAAACTTTCCCTGGACACCCCAAAAGCACTTTGCACCCAATCCCAAACCCAGCACAGTAAGGTGTAGGGGAGCATCCCCCAAATGCTGCCTGCTCGTGGGTATTTGGTGCCTTTGGGGTTGGTGCTGCTTCTTTAGGGCATTGAATTCCCTGGAGAATGTGGGGTTGTGGAATAGCAGCCCCACTGCAGCTCTGGCAGTGCTGAACCAAGGAAATGTAAAGGAGGGAGAAGAGTCCCAGGGAAAGATCATTCCCAGCTTCCTTCCAGCTCTGGAAGTGGCTGAGAACAGCCCGAACTGCCCCAAACAGGAGGGTGAAACACTGATGGTCCTTCAACCACCTGAAACCACTCTTAAAGTCTCTCTGGAGCAGCTTTTAATGGAGTCACAGCACGAACTGGGGGTTGAAGCAGCCCCTGAAAGAGTTCCTGACTCACAGGCTGGAGTTTAGTGCTTGAGTCACCATCCCAGGATGTGAAAATTAATAAATAAAATAAATAAATAAATAAATAAATAAATAAAAGTGGTTTAAAGTACTTTTTAAAATCATGCTTAAAAAAGATTGCCCAACATGCATAATAATATAATTACTTTATTATCTTAATAGTGTTATGCCCACTAAGAGTCAGTGGCACTGAAGGGACCTGGCTGTGAAAAACTGAAGGGGCCTGGCTAAGAAAAGCACCAGGAACTGTTCAGATGGGTTCAAATCTGCCATGAACACATTTTATGTGTTCACATTTTATCCCTAGGACATTTAAACCACTGTCATTAGGGTCAGGGCTTTTTCTCCAGAGAGTGAGAGGGACCAGCACAGTTTTGACACCTCTGCAGGCAGGGAAAAATATTCTTGTGGGGCATTAAACACCATTTCTTGCCCTCTTGGGTACATCTTTGTCCTCTGCCCTCTTTTGTTTTGTTCAGGTTGGCCATCTCTACACCTGTCCTTGCTTCTTGTGTTTTGATATTCCTAATTTCCCAGCATGGGGAAGGAAAAAAGAGCATTTTTAGCAGTCATTCTGAGGCAAGAGGAGCTCAGGTCAGCCCTGATTGCGTCTGTGTCCCATGGTCTGTGCCCAGCAGGATGGATGCTACCACAAACCTCTCCAGAACCATTTATTTCATGGATAGATTCCACAAAAACAATGGTTTTGATGGGTTTTATTCCCTCCTTTTCCCCCTCACCACGTCTGCAGTCAGGATCTCTTCCCATTTTTGTCCCTTTTGGACTTTCAGGGTTTGTTCTTTAGGTAAATCCAAGAAATTTGATTTAGTAACAACCCTTAGGAAAAAAAATAATGAGAATATGACCCTGTGCCTGTTAAGATTAAACAAAAGCTGTTCTTGAAGGGAAGGATTTCAGCCTTCCCTTGGCCCTGAGCATTCTTCCGTCCCCAAAACCTGAACCCACTCGAGGTCTGCAACATGTTGGGAGGTCAAACACTGCTCCAGCAGCTGAGGAATGGGGATGAACAGCCCCTGAGCCCTGGAGATGTGGTCATAGGGAGAAGCAAAGGCTGCTGTGTCCCCTTTCCCATGGAAACATGGGTGGGTGGCAGTGGCATTCCCTGGGGAATGGGCAGGTGACATCACCAAGGTCCCCCCTGGATCCTTCCCCACAGTGACAGATTCTCCTTATCAAAAACGCCTGAGCGAATTCCTTGCCAGCCCCAAACCAACCCAACAACAACAACAATAATTAAAAAAAAAAGGCCTGTGGGAAGTAGAAAATATAAAACTTGGGGAAAAAATGGAATGTGTGGAGCCTCTGAGTCTGGCCTGGTTGGTGTGTGCTGTCTGGGTCTCCTGCTCTGATCCACAGGGAAGGAGTGAGAAACCCCAGCCTTCAGCTCCTGACACACAAAGCAGTGACCCCAGCTGGGAAAGGCATCTCAGGCTGCACTTCCACACCAGTCCAATTTAATTTTTTTCCCACCAAAAATATAGGAAAGCCCCCTTTGTTCCTAAGCAAGAGGAGAGTCCATAAAAGCAGCAGGTTTTGGTGGATGGAGAGCTTTGGCACCTCTGGTGTACTCCCTGCTCCTGCTTTCAGGGCTGGAAGAGCTTCAACAAAACTCTGTGAGGTCCAATATTAATATTTATAATCATAGAAATCTGTAAAGGAGCTTAATGATGCTGGCTGAGCCCAACCTCTCTGTCCCCAGGCTTGGTGGGACCAACACTTTCATTCCCTCAATGCTCCTGCTCAACCCCAGCATTGTCCCAGAGCATTTGTGGGGATTTTAGAGGAGGTTTATTCATGCAAGGTGATTTTCCTCAGTCAAGGCAAGGCAATATTACAACAGCTTCTGCTGGACAGGGACACCTTTGACTGTCCCAGGGTGCTCCAGCCTGGCCTTGGGCACCTCCAGGGATCCAGGGGCAGCCACAGCTGTGCAGAGAACGATTCCTTCCCAATATCCCATCCAGCCCTGCCAGCTCTCAGTTTGAAGCCGTTCCCACTCGTGCTGTCACTCCAAAATCCCTCTCCAGCTCTCCTGGAGCCCCTTTAGGTGCTAGAAGCATCTCTGGGGTCTTTCAGCCCTTTCTGGACTCTTCCTCTGCACCTCTCAGCTAAAAATCCTAAAGCATCCCAGGATTCCAGTGGCTGCCTTAACAGGAATGGTTTGGAGGGGAAATTGGATCTCTCCGTGGTTTTCCTGAGCTGATTTTCCTGAACCTGAACCTGAGGGGTTCAGGAATCCCTCCAAGGTTTTCCTGAGCTGATTTTCCTGTGCTCTGGATGCAGATTCCATGGAGGTGGATCAGCAGAAATCCCCTCTCTGCTGCACTCGGGGCCAGTCTGGCACAAAGGAATTAAACATCCAAGGAGGGAGGCTGGGACAATGATTGCTGTGATTTGGGAAGATTTCAGGGAAGCAAATCCCATTTCCTTCTCATTTTCTTCCTAAGTTCTTTCAGGAACCACTTCCACCCCAAGCTGTTGCAGAGAAACTCGAGAAACTCTCTTTTATTTTTTAATAATTGTTTAGAGCCGATGCTCACACCCTCCTCTCTCCCCCTGATCTTTAGGTGGCATTTAAAACTAAAAACGCACGTGTGAGGAACAAAACCTCACACGGAGCAAAAAAGGGTTACAAAACCCCTTAAATCTCCCCGCAGGCATTAAAAGGGAAAAATCCCTGTTGTTTTATCCCCTCCTCTCCTGACACAGAGCAGAATCCTGCTCCTCTCGGCTCGGGAAGATGAAACGCAGGCAGCAGGTGGAAACCTTTGTGGCTGTAAGGCAACACGCAAAGCTTTGGGGTGGTTTGGGGTTTGTTTTCCCCTTTATTTGGGGCCGCCTTGTTTTTGGGAAGGGGGAGCTCCCCCACCGGCTGGAGCTGCTCTTTGTCCCGAGCCTTTCAACTGCGGGCAAACCTTGATCTCGCTCGGGAGGGGAAGCGGAGCATCCAGGTGGTCCAGGTGTGGGATCCCCATGCCCTGCGCTCCTTCAAACGCATCCCCGCTAATCCAAAGGGATGTTTATTCCTTTTTTTTCCCCTTCTTTTTTTCCCCTCCTCTCTCAAGCGGCTTTGTTTCCCCTCCCTCAGTGCGGGACTTGTGTCCCTAATTAACACCTTAAGAGGGGGTGAGGATAACCGGGATATTTAGGAGGGCGCTTGTGGGCAGAGCTCCTAATCCAGCGCGGCGGAGGGAGGGGATCCATTAGCAGGTGATTTTTGGGAGAATTGGGATCATCAGCATTTAAATGGGCACGGCCTGATGAAAGGCTTGGCTTGGCTGCCGGGGAGCTGAGAGCTCTGGGAGGGATTTCCCCAAATCCCAGGTGTGGGGTGTGGAAAGGGAAACGACTGTGGGGGGACGGACGGACAAACGGACGGACGGACGGACGGACGGACGGATGGATGGATGGATGGATGGATGGATGGATGGATGGAATCATGGGTGGATGGATGGATGGATGATGGATGGATGATGGAGGGAGGGATGGATGGAAGCATGGATGGATGGATGGATGGATGATAGAAGGATGGATGGATGGATGGAGGGATGGATGATGGAGGGATGGATGATGGAGGGAGGAAGGGATGGATGGAAGGAATCATGGATGGACGGAGGGATGGATGAATGGAGGGAAGGATGGATGGAGGGATGGATGGATGAATGGATGGATGGATGGATGATGGATGGACAGAGGGATGGATGAATGGAGGGAGGGATGGATGGAAGCATGGATGGATGGATGGATGATAGAAGGATGGAAGGGGTGGGTGGATGGATGATGGATGGATGATGGAGGGATAATAGAAAGATGGATGGATGGATGGATGGATGGATGGATGGATGGATGGATGGAATCATGGATGATGGATGGATGTTGTGGGGTGAGCAAGTAGCCCTGTGGGTTTTCCATGAGGAAGTGGTGTTGTGCTAGTCCAGGAAGGGTTTGAAGATGGCACAAGAAAAGGGGTGAAGCTGCTGCAAAACCCCGAAAGTATTCCATTCAATTTTTTCCATGATTGGGAACAAAGGGTTGTTGCTGTGGTGGAAGGAGAGAGTGATGCATCCTACAAGGGTGGAGTTTGGACTTTGCAGCTTCAATCACCTTTTATTTTGCTTTATAAAATTAAATCCATAGGTGACACAGAGTCAGGATAGATAAATCTGGGTGGAAAAAAAATAATCACGGAGTTGTTACGGCTGGAAATACCTGTAAGAGCGTCCAATCCAACCAAAATCCAGGCAGACAACTCAGAAAATATTGCAACCCAGAAAATATTGCAACTCAGAAGATATTGCAATTCCAGCAGCACAGAACAGTGGAAAACATGGGATGAGGAGGTG